GCTTAAACTGCAGCTCATTAATATAAATTACTCAAGTGATTCTTGGAATTAATTGAAGACTGGCGAAGCAGCTGCTGTTTCGAGGCGCTGATGTTGTTAGAGAGACGTTCAACGGGAGACATTTCCATTTACCTTCACAATGTGGATAAAACGTGTTAATTCTCCTTCAGATTGCACGGATCCTATAATTTTTATTCACTTTCTTCTTCGATGGAATTAAGATGGCTTAGAGATATAATAGAGGGGTTAAAATTCTTACATTCCTATTTTAAATTTAAACCCTTTGGATTTCAGGCCTTATCCGATGTCTGATCCAAATAGAGTTGTCAATCTGTATGGAAATTATACGTAATATTTGCCAATGACTTACCTATTTTATGATAAATCAAATTTATCTTAAGATGGCTGTCTTCTGGGGTGTTGCGCCGTGTAGTCTGTTAGAAGTTTACCGACGTTTCAGAGGTGCTTCCTGTCTCCATCATCAGGGCGATAAGTGACTCGTCGCTCTGAGGATGGAGACAGCACTCCTGCGTGCAGTAGTCTACATATTGGGATCCAGTAATAGCCATCTTAGCTCGAAAAATGTATGGCCTTTCTCGGTGTGAAAATAATTTAAGGGAAACGAACAGTTTCTCTGCATCAAGGAGTCTTGGTCTGCTACTGACAATCATACGAAACGTAAATAAAAATGTATTTATATTGACTGTTAAAAGCAGGTGGTACTTATAGGCTTCAGAAGGTTAAATACGTATAAACATTTATAAGAACGGGCGAAAATATAATAGTTTGTCATCGGTTTATTCTCAAAGACATTACACTTACCTTCAGGAAGTGACGTGCCCGAACTATGCCCGTAGCTGCGGTGCTGCCCCCTTCGTCTTTGGCGATGAGTAAGTCCACAGCCTCTCACGCAAAAATCACGTTTATCCGCATCATTACCATGGTTACTTCACTTGTTGAGAATTCGCAGCGTAAGACTGCAACTAGTCTGCAAGAACGTAACGAAGCCAAGCTGAAGTGTCTTCATGAGCCTCTTGTTTGAGTTGGCTTCCACTGCACGTCCACTGTCCACTGCCCACTGACATCGGTCATCTATTAGAGTTAACGAGGAGACAGTTCGTGGTAGACATGTCCGGAGTGTGTCGTGGTGATCCGTGAGTTTATATTTCTGTGTTTATTACCGCGCACATAAAGCCGTCGGTTGTCACTGTTTGTAGAATTCTACACTGACACTTGAATCTGGCATGTTTGTAATATCTACTTTGTGAAGTCAGAAGTCTTAATTGTAATACAATAGATTTATAATTGTTCCAAAGCTCTTCCTGTGACTTTATTACTTTAAAGTTGCTATAACAAAGCACCCAATTGGGTCATTTAAATTATAACGTAGGAACTTAAAATATCTTATTTCATAATGCAATTCTTTCACATCTAAAATAGGTTGAATAAAGTAAATTTTAACTGGTGTTAAAATAATTTAAACGAACTTATTTATGGTTATATTCCAAAAGAAAATTAAGAAAAACTGATAACAATAAAACTAAGACATAATTAATGCTTTATTGTTTTATGTGCACGTAAAAATTCGGAGCTATTTGACCTATACCTAATGGAATGTGAATATCGCGTGCCTTTTATCCACGCCTACTGTAACGCATCGACGGCCGAAATTTTGCGCTGTATTTCCGTTTGATCGACTTTTACACTTTAATTGAACACCCACGGTTTTGTGCGATACTACCAATGAAGCTGTTTGCTGCTATTGGCGTAAAAAGTCGCTGAACTCAGATCGAGCTCACTCGACATTTACCTGACACTGCGCACGTCGAACTCTCCCTCACTAATAAATATGTGCGAGGAAATTTTTTATTACGGTGTTCTTTAATCTGATTTTCATACATCTCCATTCTACATGTAATGTTTTGTTTTCACTTCTCTTACTTTAGATAATTTCTTAAAATATCATGAAATAAATAGACAATGAAGAAACATAGCAACGGAGTTAAATCAACAACAGGAATGTGTTATTTGGAATTTGCGTGTTCCGCATTTGTTGCTACGGCTATTATTAATTGTGTTATATTGACACGCAAGAGTTGGCATTACTACCCAGTTTCAGTAATTTCATGTTCGTATCTCTGATTTGATAATCGAAGAAAATTACAAAAAGAAGAGCACGGAATTCGAAAGATTCTTTTGATCTGTTTGCAAGGACCGGATGTTGCGATAGTTCTAATCAATATCGTTGTCACAGTTTTGATACACCTTTCAACATCATTTATGGTTCAGGTCAGCCAGTGCGGTTCTCACTGTAATAACACGGCGGTGTTCAGACACGTCAACCACAACTGAGTTTTCACTGTACACTGTCCTTAACTGTCTTCTTGTTTACTTGCACAGGAACTCAGTTCCATAATCCCCTACCCTTGCCCTTGCTGGAAGCGGAGGTCTCTATTAAAACAAGAAATGGTAGTGGTAGTAACGAACCCAACGCCAGGTTGACCCAGTTGCAATTTTCTTGTCCCGCTCCTGAAATCCGACGATCGGGGCCACCGACTAAAGTTCTTCGGCCGTCGAAGGAGCGACACCGCGGCGATGACGACGGAGGGTGGTGTTTGATGCCAGACCCGGGGGACGGAGGGTAAATGTTTAAAGGCCGTCCCGTCGCGCGACCAGGGTTGGACTGAGAGGCAAGCGAGTTCCAGCCGAGTGCAGGGGTGATGCTATATACCTCGCAGCCAGAATCACGAATGGCGTCGGATTTTACCGGGTTCTCGCGAATTCTGTGCCCATCGATCGTTCTGCTGGTGTATGTGTACTAGTTGGAAGCTTACACGAGCGCCAGGATCTACTACAGCTTCCCTTGTACCTAGGCTGCCCTCCCTACAGCAGTCTTTATTTCTCTCTGCGCGGTATTTCCGTTACCTGCTTCTTTCTCTCCCTCTGTCTCAATTCTGAAATCACATCCGTTCTCCTTGTCTTAATGTTTACCTTAGCGGTTCTTCTGCTTCCATCTACATTAGAACAGGCGACCCCCTATCGCGTGCAATTAATCCTGGAACCCCCTCCAAAAATAATCAACCCTCGAGAACTTACGCTTGTTCCAAAATGAATATCCAAGATGAATATGTTGCACTGCAGGGGGATGGGAGACAAAGTCTGTAAAGGCACTTTTCTCATTTGTTTTATTCAGCGGAACAGAAAACACTGAACAAGGTGACTTATGTTCTGGTAGAAATTGACCACAGTTTCAGAGGTGCTTCTATCATGAGGGCAATCGCCATAGAATTCTCTTTGTCTTCTAAGCTGTAACTCCGTGTAGACTCGTAGCAACATACTGGCGTTTCGGAGGAACATGTTGCCTCCATCTTTAGGGCTGGAAAAATAAAACAATTTTGTAAATATTTGCACAGAAACAAACTTCCTACACGTGGAATGGCTTCCTTGTGTGCAGAAATGTGTTAAATTATGTTTATATTATTGAGTAATGTTATAAAAGGGACACCGACTAAGATGAGGATAGTCTCATGGGATTAAGAGACGCGAACTTGATCATGCAGAAAGATAGAAAAGCTCTGAGCAGGTAATGAAATAAAGAAGGAATGCAGGTACAAGAAAGCAAAATAAAAAAGGAATTAATGCCCTTCAGGGAACAGACGTCCTTCATGTCTGGCACAAATTAAATTTCTACTTCAAACTTCCGTGATTTTGTCGAATCTTGAGTCGAAGTTCTCAGTCCAGACATACAATCTCTCTACCCGACGTAATTTGGTTTTAATATGTTGGATCTGGCACTGGCCTAGAGTCTACTGAGCACACCACTTTGCCCTCAGCCAAGAAGTACTTGGCTCGAGTCTCGACAGGTACCAGCTGTTATGGCTAACAGACGTGTCCCTTCCGTCGTAATCCGCCCGCGTATAATCAAGTGACATTCCTCGTAACATTAAAACCAGCTCATAATTTACTGCATCCAAAGATCTTGAAAATGTATTTTTGTTTAAAATTCGATGCACTTGTTTATTGACACAAAATGCTGCACAGATCATGCGCCATTAATTTATGTACAGTGTCTAACAAAAATAATGCATACACATCATAACACAGAATATTAAACGTGTTTTGAATCTCCATGTGTTTGTTTACGGAACATTTTGAACACCTTCGAATATACGCTAATTCACGAAGTTCCAATTCTGAAGTATGTAGTAGTTACTTTATTTAACTGCCTTTATTTCATGAACTGAATGTATGTGTACTTATATCTGGTACACCCTGTGTTTGTGATTCATGTGACATGTCAGAGGTCCATGCAGCTTGAGCATATTACGCGGTTAGCTTTTTCAGTTTTCTTTCTGCGCGTATCTTTAATAAATTTTATAAAGAGTAGAAATAACAACGGGGCGCATTAACCACTTAATCTTTCTTTTCTTTTTACTATAAAAATTCGTGATTAGTCGTTGTCGTCAACCAATTTGTCGTCAAAAAATGACGTCATCAACAATATCAACTATAAACTAACTCGGCATTGTTGTGTTCCACAACAATGCCGAGTTTAGTGTCTTACTTAAGATTTTAAAACGTCAAGTGTTTTAACCCTCCATTCGGGGGGTTTAGTTTAGTTTCTTACACAAGATTTTAAAACGCAAAATGACTTGAGTAAGACACTAAACTAACCCCCCCCCCGAAGGGGGGTTAGTTTAGTGTCTTACTCAAGATTTTAAAACGCAACCAACCCTCCTCCGAGGGTGGGTTGGTTGCGTTTTAAAAACTTGAGCAACTCCCCGAGGAACTCCGAAAGGAGCGCTCTGCTCTAGTTAATATAAAAATAAGCATACAAACAAACTGTTTACACTATGAATGATACTAGTGCTAAACGCTTTTCGACCTCAAGAGGTCATCATCAGTGACAAAAAGGGGGAATTGATTCATATAATATGATAAAAATGTGGTTTTAAACAGATCATGAAGGTGAGTTCTTTACAAAACCATAATAAGTAACACTTCACTGGATGTTGGTTTTCACAGGAGTTGGTGTATAGTATTCTGCACTTAGCTATTAGTCCACTGGTCTGGTGGCCGTTGCTGGTCTGCGGCGAGCCGTGGTTACGTCGTCTCTGCCTGTGAACACAAGCAGAATTATTGTCACTTTCTTTAAATTTAAGCTGTAATACCGAAAGGCTGTAATCACACGTATTTTATGCTATTTATTGCTATGGTTCCGCGTGGTGTAAGTCTTGCAACTTTCAAATGTAGGCCTGTCGTTTTATTCATTACATCGGATATGGTTGCCTAGCTACAAGACAGTGACCAACATAATCGCTTTATGCATTGTAAGCCTCATCTGACCTGACAAATGCCAGGCCGAAATGATAGGAAGAACGCAATTGGAAAGACAGACAAATTTTGTATTGGAATTCCCGTCCGTGTGAATGAAACCTCGCACCCGGGGTTTGCGACTGATGTCTGCTATAGGCCTACGCTCTGAACGGACTTGTCTCTAGTTAAATAACCCAAGAAACTACTTACGATAATTGAAAGCTTAAAAGTCTTGCGATTTGTTTACTCGAAGAAATCATTTATTTTTCTTAAGTGAAATTCCGGTTGAAATGTTTGCTTTCGTCTTTCTGAACAGACCCGCTCTCGCGAAATCCCAACAGGAATTTGATCAAGGATTCAAAATGCTTTTAAGGAAAAGAGCCTTGATGCAGGAACTTATAGGAGCGGTCACATTTTTTCCTTCCATCGATTACCGCTTATTACAGTATTATGAACGATACCGGCACAAACAGCTATTTTATTTAGACTCTCAGACAGAAAATTGATTTGGTGTGGATTGAACGATAAGGTGTGTCTTAGAATGACCTCGTGCCCTGGGATGAAATATTTTGGGTTAAGATCCAGTGACGGGCTCTTGATAACTCGGTAATAAGCTAAATGTTTGCTTTAAAGTTGAGGATTTATTCAACAGCAGAGACTATCGACTGTTCGAGAAACAGTTTACTGTAAAATTAGTGGGCTGCAAGAACACTGTAGACTGTGTTGTCGAGAAGTGAAGTCGATCTGTCTCACTGGACGTCCGTGTACCCCCGGAATTTACACTTACCTTACTAACAGGCAATACAGTTAGTTTAGTACTAAAAGGACATATCTCACAGAAATGCATATTGTGTTTTAATTTACACTTTATGAAGGTCTGTTGTGAACTCATTCATTCAGAGCATCTGTGGACGTAGTTATAAGATATATTTGCATAATACGTTGAGTTTTATGTTTTTCCTCCAACTTCACGAGGTCTTCCCATCTGCAGCATAACTTTTATCTCACCCTAGACTTCTTTTTATGCCTTACATTAGTTAGCAGGTCTTGTGTAATTCTGATGATAATTTGTGATCAGATATTCATCATTCAGCCTTTAATAGCATTATTTTATAACCACAAATAAGTTTATGCCGTAATAGGTGTGTCATAATGACGTTTGGACAAATTGACGGATCTTCATAAAACTTGACATGAACATGATGTCACTACAGGCTAGTTTACCTTTTATACTTCATAACTGACTGCCACTAATAATAATACGAATCATAATATCAATATGGCTGTCATGCGAATTTGTGAGGTGCGAACGACACTAACGTTACGTAATGTTAAGTAGATAAACAAAATGCTGCTAATAAAATAATTTTTGGTGAATTGTATAACAATAGCATGACGACCGAGGGACAACTATATTTACTTTTCGGTTTGACAGCGATAATTAATGAATCGTTGCAGGTAGATTTTCGGAACTTTGAGATTTGAAGTTTTAACGATAAAGAAAATTATGACACTGTTTCTCTGTGTTTCAGCTCCGTGTAAACTCATAGGCAGATGCCAAAGTTTCCGTATTTACCCAGATCTTTGTCCCCATTATTTCTCGTCTCTGATTGGTCCATTCCCTCAACTTTTCCTTCCTCTAGTCTCTTACTAATCTTTCCACTTACCAGCATTGACACTTCAGCACTGAAGATGGAGACAGTATATTTCTCTGAAACGTTGCTATCTACCGACGAGTCTACACGGCGCCAAGACCCAGAAGAATGATTTTATCATGCAAAATTTTGTATGGACACATAAGAAACATTACATGGAAATTGCATATGAAATATTCTTTATATGTCAGCACTTACGAACATAACGAAGGTTTTAAAGTTCGACATTACGGAGTTGGAATACACAGAAAGGGATTCATTGCTAGATGGTGTAATTATAAATGTGTCGTGTGTACTTCTTCCTAGACTCGCCAAGTGCATGGTAACATCTGATGGAAATTGGATATCGTCACTTTTTTGTGAGTGGTATCATAAACTAAACACGTAATCTCAAATCGATATTAATTTTTGTTGTAAATAAAAATCTCGACTTGTATCTTGGCTGTAAGAGTGTTGCTTAGTAACTGTGCGTCTTGACGTCAGTCTGAACCATCAATCATAAAGAAGATTTGATGTTTTCATAGCGATGTGAAAATAGATTATCTTTTATGTTGTTCAATTTATTATCAGGACTAAAGTAAGCACCGATGATGGAGGCGGTATGTTCCTCTGAAACGTTGGCACACGGCCACTGTATTACAGGCTCAAGTCACAAGATTCTTTTTGTATAAGTTATTAAGTATTCGCGTTGTAGGATGTGTCCTTCCTGTAAAGTAGGGGTTGTGGGCCCCCCCCCCCAAATAGAACAGCGGCGATATTGGCTGGGAACTGGAAATAAAGTAGTAACACTTTATTATTTGAGTTTATCTGCATAGTAGTTTTTTCTTTGTACTTTTTTAAGCGAATCACTGATATTTCTGAATAACACAATTCACATATCTGGTTAGATCCGCCACTGTCCACATGGTTCCAGATGCCTCGCAACATACACTGTTTATTTCATTTCAAATATTTGCCATAAAAACTGCTGTTTGGAAAAGGCTGCGAATATTGAGAAAGAAAATTTGATTTGGACCGAATTCCTGAAGTGCCACCTGATTGAAGTTTGTTGCTAGGTGACGGAGCATGAAATGTTTCTTTGAAAATGGACACAAAAATACGTCACGGTGACATAACGGACTCTGTAATACCAGCATCCTTTCCATGTTATATAGAAACCGTACTTCAATTTTATTACGCCCGTTACGAAAGCAGATAACTTCCATATTGTCCTTTCGACGTATCTGTGAACGTCAAGTGTGCCTTAGGAACGAAAATGCTTGAGTTGGCCTATAAAGACTTCAGCACAGGACTAGAGTAAACTGAAAAGTAATTATTTCCAGTCGAACGTTGAGTGATCATAAATAACAATTTGGTTCTAAATTTAATTTTGAACTCCCCACTTGCTTGCTGTCAGTACACCGGTAAACTTGAAAATGCGAGCAATCTGTGGGGAAAATGCTGTGGTAGATACGAATCTAATTTCTGTGACTCCAGACATGATAATTTCGTTGAACTCTCTTATTTAGAGACGTGTGTTAAATATACTTCGAAGAGAAGTCGATAAAATTTATAACAAAGTAACACCCACCTAAATAATCAATGTATATAATGTTTATAATAATTTAGATAGGGTTTATCCGTATGTTATTAAATAACTCCTTGTATCAGAATCGTACTTTAGAAGCTAATAGTTGTTAAGCTGGTCAACAAATTTCCAGTTTTTGTAAAACCTGTCTCGTTCACGATGCCACTCCACCTTATTCCTTATGATCCACTTTAATAGTATCCTACGTTTTACTATTTAGTCGTCCGAGGAAATTCCCATTCAGGTTTTTCTGTCATGGAAGCAAGCAGTAAGCTCCACCGAAACACTGGAAACTGTTTACAAGTCTACAATCTAGAAGATGAACGTCCATATGCGATATTCGAGATTTGCACTGCGGTGAGGATTTTGGTGTTGTTCTGCTAGGTTTCAGTGCCGTGTAGACTCGTCGGTACATGCCACCGTTTCGGAGAAACAGACTGTCTCCATCCCTTTATACAGCCCTGATGGTAGATACAGTATGTTATGTCGTGTTATGTTATGTTATGTTATGTTGCCAATGTTCAGGAATGTTTGAAAGAGGCGTCAGCATTCAACGCTGCCGCTGACAGTTCAGACTCATCTTCAGGGCCTCTATTCATATTTAATGTTTCTAGGCACAGTAACCGCGCTCGGTTCCGACGGTGGCTGAACAGAAGGGCAGAAAATCCATTCATCCCTTCCCGCACAGCGAGGTTAACTGCTGGCTGCAGGAACACTTTTCCTTCGAGCTATCATATTTGCGAACCGTAAAAAGTGCAAGGTCCCCCCGGGCTTTGTATAAATACAAACGCTTTCTTCTTATCGGTCTGACATTAGAGGACAATATTAAAATGGATCTGAAACAAATTGCATGCTTGGCTGCTTATTAGATTCATCAGTCTTGTTTTAGGGACGACTGTTCGGTCCTTGTGGTTGC